TCCATCTATTAGTTGTGTGTTTATAAAAATTTTGTTCATTAGCTTAGCACAACCTTTGCTTTGATCAGTATGACATATGGAGGCTTGTAAATAAGAGGTGTAGTGAAAAATGCTTTAGCAGTGATAAGGGGATATATAAATAGGCACTAATTAACAAAAACACACCAAACATTCCTAAATATCTAAGCATATGATAGTTTTATGGCTAGGGGCTCTTGTTTGTTGATTACTTCAGGGGAAACAATTTACAATCAGAAATAGTTCAATCTTAGAATAAAGGATTCACAATGAGTTGTTTGATTTTCTTTCTAATCATTACAATTGCAAGGATGAAAGTGATTCATTTTTTTTTTTTTATAAATGATTTCACAGTAAATTTTGTAAAAATTCCTACTGACTTATGATTATGTGATAAAATGACCATTTGGTTACTTTTACATTTCTCCACGTAAACTAATTTTTTTTTTTTTTTTGTCAATTGTCATCCTTACTCCTACCCCTACTCTATCTACGGGGAGGCTCAACTGAGCCTATGGGGACTGCTGGGGACAGAACCACCATCGGACCAGACGGGTGCGTAGACGGATGCACTACGCACCTGTCTGGATTTGAAGCAGAGTCACAAGAGTGGCATTTTGGTGGGAGGCAAGGATTTGAACCCTTGCCTCCCACCCCACCAAAGCCTTAAGGGCTTGGGCTTGGGCTTGGTAGTGGCCACCAACCCAAGAGCTAGTGGTTCTCCACTTAAACTAATTAGTGTATTTGAATCTATGAATAGCAGTACCATCACAAAGGTCTGTGACATTTAGAGTTACAAATACCTATTATAACAGGTAATACTACTACTATTTTAATATTTCTATAAGAGCCTTCTAATATTATAATTTTTAAAAGAATCCATTATTAGTTTTAACCTAAAACTAGCTATTGATGGCCATTCATCTTCGAACATAGAAAACAAAACGACCGCAACCTTTTATAAAACCTTCATGGTGATTCATTCGGTCAAAAAAAGAACATTTAAGGCCCACGAGGTCTTGAGATTTTTTTTTTTTCAAACGTCATTCTGTAATTGCCATTTGCAACTTAAGTTATCATATGAAATGTCATTGTGCCACCTATCACAGTTTTAGGAAAATAATCTATTATCAGACGAAATATCATTGTGCCACCCAATCAGCTATTAGACAAAACGTCATTGAGAGGAAAATAACCATTGACAATGTTAAAAGATCTATCGAAAAGTAAAAACTTTGTAGAGATATTTTTAATGGTAAATGATAATTGTTTTTAAATCTTAAATTTAAAAATTACCAAAAAAATAAATTTTTATTAGTGAATCATCCAGCCATTTCACAATTACACTAAAAAAAGGAAAAAAAAAAAAGCCAATTCAGAATTTAAAAAATTACTAAAAAAAAATATCAAATATTTAAGAAAACTCAAAGTTTAGAGAGTATTTATTCATATTCTAATGCCATTTCGTAATTTCAAGTTTTAAACGTTTCATTCCTTTCTCAGTCCAAAAAGTCCATTTAAGACCAATAGATTTGGACACTTTTCTTCAAATGTCTTTCTGTGGTTGGTTTTCAAATTTTGACAAATTTCATTGCGCCACCCTACATCTAGCTTTTGCCTATGAAAAATGTCACTTTTAGTGCTTTTAAATATTTTGAGATTGCATTTACTTGTAATTTAGAATTTCTAGAATTTTGTTGCATAAACATTTATAACAAAATCACATAAAAGCTAATTTTCATTTTTTATTGTATAAGAAAAATGAGATTGAGAAATGAATACTTTTTATTACTATATCTATATAACATATATTTTATCACAACGCCGTGATCTCCCAAATACAATTTAGTGCTTGCTCTTCCGAGTTGTGACAAAGGAGAATTAGAGGGGACCCATTGTTTAAGAGTAAAAGAATTAAGTGGTTTTTTGAGCAATTATGTTATGCCACCGGAGATACAAGTTGCAAGTTGGCTAACTAATGCAATGTGTGGTCATAAGTTGTCCGCAACTTCCGTGATCGTCATGTTTTCCTTGATTTTATTTGTGTATTTAAAAATCACTATATTTTCTCACTTTCTTACCAATATTGATAGTATTTTTTACTTTCTTAACCTCTTGATACTTAACAAATTATAATACGGGTATTCACTCCTGCGCGTCGCGCAGGCTTCGCCCCTAATGGAGATTAATGAATGATTGTATCTTTACGGCATTCAAAATTTGGAAACTATATAAGTCATATTAAGTCATAACGATAAGAAGGACAAATGTATTTTGAAATTTATACACAATTCCTACGGAAATTATGGAAAAGATATGCGTGGAAAAGGACTAGATTGATTGTTGTAACAAAAAGTAAAACAACTCAAAGCTCACCAAATAAATTATGGAATATGTACACGAGACAAAAGATGTGGCATCCACTTGGCAGAATATTAAATAGGACAACTCAGCAACCTAGTATATAGGGAAGTAAACAGAAAATTAAAATACATATTAGACTAGGAAAACCACACTGTGCAAGGCACAGCTTGGGCCCATCTAAAATATTGTTTAAAATATATATAATTATATTTTTATTTAGAAAAATAGCAGCAATATAAGAATTAAATGTATGGCAAATATAGATTCAACATGATAGTGTTTCTGTTTAGCATTGCTAATTCGAAACATTAGCCCAAAAATAAGACAGTGATAAGTTAAAAATTAACTGAAAAAAGAAAGCGTGAAATTTTTTTTGTAAAATTAATTCTAACACATACATACACCTTCACATGTCCTTCTTTGAAAATATAATAATAGCATGAAAAATTTTGTCAATATCATTAGAAAAAAATAACTCATTCAACTCGAGTCTAAAAGCATCATTTAACATAAAATATTTCAGTGAAAAGTATAAATAGGAATACATTGGCAAAATTTTAGAAAGAAAATTAACAATATGAGCTATGTTAGTAAATTCGCCTCATTTAGAAAAAGAACATTGAAAGAGAAAGGTGTAAAGCGCGGAAGCAGGTAAAGAGGTAAAGGGTGGGAGGGATGAAGCGGCGGTACAGTAGGATTTGTGTAGGTTTTTGTCTTGGTCAAAAAAGAAGGATAAAATAAGAGAAAAAATAACGAAAAAGAAAAAAGAAATGAAATTAAATCACCTTCCTTAAAAGGAGCATGCCACTTGTCAAAAAGAAGGGGAGCTATGTGGCAACCACCGGGGCTGCTACAGTATCTCCCCTTCTCTTTTTATAATACTTGAGGGATTAAATTAGATTATATTAGATAGGCTAAAAACTTATCTATCCAATAAGAAAAAAATTGATTTAGTAATGCTAACCTTTTGTCATTTCTTGTGTATTTTCAAAATTTCTCATTGTTTTGTTAAACTGCCAATTCATGGTAATAGAAGGGCCAATTACAATACATTGATTCTCATTTTACCACCTAATCTTTCACATAATGCCATGTGAGACAAAAGAAATTACATTAATATTAACTGCTACGTGGTCATTAAATAATGTGAATTTTCTTTGCTTTTGGTTTTTCGCAAAAAAAAAAAAATTAGGCCTAATCATTGGGAATGAATTTTTTGGTTGGAAGAGAAAGGAGAAAAAGAAAAGAGAAAGGAGAAAAATAAAAGGGAAAGTCAAAAAGGAAAGACGAAAGCAATAGAAAATGAAAAATCATATGAATAAAGGGCTAATTTTGTCGCACGAGGCGTTAAGTAGCATGGAGGAAAAATTAGGGGGTAAAAGAGGTTAAGCTGCAACAAGAAATGGCTAGAGGGTAAAGTAAGATGCAGAATAAACCTTACAGGAACTAATTGTAATTAACCCTTAGAAACAAGGGATAATTTCAGAAACCTCCCCTAAGGTTTCATGAAATATCATCTAGCTCCCTTGAGGTTTTCAAAATCTCACTTAGCACCCCTCGAATTGACATTTTGGTAACATTATCACCCTTCTAACCAAAAGCAATATTAAAAAATTCATGTTTGAGGAGAGAGATTATTTTAGTACCTTTAATACCCTTAGCCTATAGAAAAATGAATATTTTACAAACCAAGGAAAAAAAGTACTAAATTAGAACCATCTTAAAAGTGAGGAGATGAAAATTAATAAGATTTTATGTTACAGCCAATAGTCATTTCTATAGTAGAAAGAGACAGTAAAAGCAAATATTTTTTTAAAACCATTTCTATAAATAAAACCCTCCATAGCATTGAAGGCAATTAACATGTAAAAAGCATACATTTGAGCCAAAAAAACTCAGCAATAGATGAAATTCAACTTCAATATCATACAGAGAATTTACTCAAAATAGACCGACTTTTTTATGAGTATGAAATATGAAAATTTTATTATAAAAAACTCAGAATTTGAAAAACTGCAGTTCGGACTTTTAGTTACTTTATTTGTCTTGCGCTCTACATGAAGAGGATCAAATAACTAAATAAATAAATAAAGTTGTGAAACACAAAAAAAAAGGGGGAAAAAAGAACATGCAGCTATTTTTCTCCAAATGCGCTGAATATTTCATTGATTAAATCCTATATTTCATTGACATTTTGAGAAAGAAAAACAAGTTTAGAAATTTTAAATATGAGGGTATTATTGATAATTCATCACCTTTGATATTAGCATATGACCCTACTATCACTTCAAGAGTGTTAAGTGAGATTTTGAAAAGTTCAGGAGGGCTAGGTGATATTTCATGAAACCTCAGGGGAGGTTTCTGAAATTATCCCTAGAAACAATTAACATCAGAAAAAATGCCCAAAGGCAAAGGAAACACAGCTTCAAAGGAGGAAAAAAAAAGGAAAAGAAAGGGCAGAGGAAAGCCCAAATAAATTGGGCCTCAGAAATCCATTTTACACCAACAAAATGAATGCCCAGCCGGCCCGGACACAAATAATCACCACTAGGGTTTTACAAAATAAAAAAAAAGAATTAGGTTATTAGGGTTTTGACCTTATAGATACCATTCCTCTATATAATCTCCCTCTCCGCCTTCCTTCTCCAGAACAACCATTTCAATTAGCTTCTTCTTCCTTTTTTTTTTTCCTTTTTTTCACAAAATTTTCATATTTGATGCTGAATTGCTGGCCGATGAGGAAGAAATCCCAGGAATAGGAAGTGCCGTATGACACTTTTAAAAAACGCAGCCGATAGAGAGAGCGGCGGACACGCTTTTCCCATCCACCGATGTCAGGGCAATCTTTGCATGTGTTGCAATTTTTGTTTTGTTTAATTGGTCGGGTTTTGCAAGTCCGATTTCACCCTCTCCCTCTTTCGCTGCGTGGTTGATTTGAAACGGGTCTCTGAGGTAATTAATTAGCTAGTAATTAGGTTTTAATTTTGATTTTAGCTTTTTTTTTTGCTAATTTTTATGAGAAAAGGTTTGATGCCACGTTTCCGGTAGCCGGATAAAGACAATGACCGGAAATGCTATGATCAGACCGAAATTAATTTTTTTTTGAATATTTCGCATTTTGATAGGAATCTGTGGATTGATTTTTGTTTTATTCATCCACGGAGCCGTTTTGTGCGATTACATTTTACTATTTAAGATTCTGGAAAATTGTTTGTCCTTTTTTTTTTTTTTTAAATCTTACTGATTTTGGAGGTTTCTTTTTTTTTTTTGGGTTAATTAGTTGAAGCCTATGAGGAATTAATTTTATAAATATCTGGAATTACCGGCTGAATCATTACTTGATGTTAGATAGACTATCTGAGGCTTCGTTTGCTCTTTATTTATATTTTTTTGGTTATTTTTTCACTGTACTGTCTTTCAATTTCTTTCTCCAAGCTAATTTGAACTTCAATCAGCTGAGAGATTTTGTAATAGGGATTGTATTTTGGGGTGGAGGATAAAATAGTGGGAGGACTGTAGGAAAAGATTATGTTAATATAATTACATTAATTTAATTAGTTAAATTAATTACTAATTAAATGCAAGAATATGTTACAACAGAAGGATCTTAGGAAGAATTCGTTCAACCAGCATGTATTATTATTTTTACATATAAAGTAGATAAACCGCCAATGAAAATGTAGTTGCGATTGGGTTGGTAGTATATTCAATTGCGGATTGTACGAGGGTAGGGTTACTTGTGCGCATAATAATTTGGCTGTAAAAAGCACGGAAAGAAAATGCTACTCTACTCTATATGACATATGTACGATTGAAACAAAGATAAAGATGGTTCACTTTCTTAATTTTAGAAATTCATACTTATTATCTGTTGTTAAATATGATGATTTTTCAGGTGAACTTTAAAATTTTAACAGTAATGTTTTTAAATTCTAATCAGAAAGTGAATCAAAAAATCTTTCGATTTATGTTTTGAGTAAAACTACAATATTTATTTTTAAAAATAAAAAGGTTTAATCTTTGATAAGCTGAACTAGGCGCAGAACTTTAGCCGGAAAGAAGAGGCTGAATCTTGCTCATGTGAGACAGAGGATGAAGTATTTTAAGTCAGCAGGGGAGAAAACAAGCTCATTAAGCGAGACATGACAGTGGGCGGGCTAACCTGTTAATTTGCGATGAATTTCACTAGTCTCAAGAGGAACATTTCCAGGCTTCCTTCAGATGTTCTTACACCCTATGACATATTCACAAGGAAGGGAAAAAATCCACCTTTGTATTTTCATGACGTGTCAAACTTGAGATTCTGTGTCAACAACCAGAATTCTCTAAATCAAAGAAGTGACTAGGCAATCATTTGAGGCTTAGAATAGCATTTGACCAGATGAACTCAATCTTGACATTGGTAGAAGTCAACTTGGAAACGTCCATTCTTGAGCTGTCATGGTAAGTGGTAACTTGGAAACGTCCATTCTGTGCCAAGGCAAGGGGTGTTATGTAGCACTTGTAGTGCAGTGCAACATATTTAGGGCACGGATGGTTTAAAACAATGTAACACATTTTGAATACTTTGTAACTCTACGTGAAAAGAATTACTTGTAAAATTTCATAATAGATACATAATTATTATGCATGGCATTCATTTGAACAGTAATAAAATATTACACTCTTGCTGTAAATGTGAATGATTGGCACGCGTGTCAGTGCCTCGCGTCTCTCGGGCTGGCGGCACATCTAGGCAGGGTGGAGTAGTTGCACAAAGCAAAACCAATCATCTTTCTTGTACTTGTTGATGACTTTATTAAGAAAAGCAAAGCTAGTGCCAAAGGTGGAGATCATCCATATTCTGAAATAAGAAAGCAAAGCTGAAGAGATTTCAAGCAGAAACTGTCACATACCATTTGATGATCATACAAACTGACAAATTGTTCACCCATAGTTTATCAGGTGGCCATGTATGACTGTGACTAAATGTTCACCTACCATGTAAACGCTCATAAGAACAGAAAAGGTGTTCACTGTGACTAAAGGTTTGTATGAATATTTACAATTTCCACCCTTGTTGGTTGCATACAAATAGCTGCTCTATATCTTGATATTACTGGCCAATATCTAGATCCAACGACTTGGAGTATATAACACGAGGGAAATGGAAAATTAAGCATCACAAACAAAATTTGCACATGCAGGATATAATTATCTGAGTAGCATAATTGCTGCAGCTATAGATATCATGGAACATCTGATTGCCAGGAGATCCATGAGACACCCATCTCCAAGACCATTGTTGGAGTATCCTTGATAAAAGGGACATGCGAGGGTTGCTCTATTGAAATCGAGTTGATCACAAACTATGAAATAAGATTACTAAATAAATGATACTGAAGAAAATTTAATAATCAAATTCTATATCTTGAGTTTTTTGTTGAAACAGTTACCATAATATTAATTCTAAGCAGCACATTTGTGAGGTATTCCGCCATTGATCTTGGTCGGGACAAGTTTTGGGTAGCGATACAAACATCAGTGAAATTCCTTTTTTTTCCTAGGGCCTTGACCGTCTAAAGAGAATTTAATCAGTACAAGGTTTTTCATATTACCCCAGGAACTTTGAATGCATGAGTTTTGTCCCTTATGTGTGAGAATTTTCCCCTTTAGCAGCACAGATAGTAGAAATTGAGCAGGAACAGGAAGCTTGAACATAATCTGTTCCAATATCCTGTTAGGTTGTTCTGCAGGGTTCAACCTTTGATGGTTTTGAACTTCTTCTTCTATCAGTAAGCTTGGTTGTCAATATGCTGAATAAAAAAGGTTGCAGGACATGTTTATGACAGATTAAAGTGATGGGACGCCAGAATGCCCTTTAACATACAATGCCTCTTGATTCCTCCACAGTAGATAAGCTCCCTAACCTTCCGTCTTGGTAGGATGTACTAGATTCTTTACAAGAAGAAAAATGTATTAGTAACTACTTCAGAAATAAACTTCTACCGTTCTAGATAAAAACACAAAAAAAAAAACAAGAAAAGAAAAGAATAAGAACATGATGAATTAGCATCACCCAATCTACCTTCTTTTTCTGTCCTGCTTTCACATCCCAATTCCCACGGTAAAAGTAATTTTGCTCAGAGGGGAAAGAAGGTAATGAGATCAAACACAGAAATGTCTTTTCGCTAAGGCAGCACCATTTAGATTTAGCTATCCTGATCCTTGCATTTGCAACTTGCAAGAGCCACATGTTCTAAGTTTATGGTTTTAACATGTACAAAAATGATAATACCTTGTTGAAGTTAGACCTTGGCCATTCTATGGGAAGCAATCCTCATTGTTAACAAACTTTAACTATATCTTGCAAGTATAACTGAAAAAAGACTACACATGAAATCAAGCATATCATAATTCACACAACGGAATTATTTAAACAAAAATGAAACATCACCTTTGGTGCCTTGAGGACAAGGCCATCAACCTGAGTAAGCTGTTTCGAGATGCAGATACCAAAAGCAGAGTGGATAGGATCATCAACATTCTGCTACAGGATCATCAACATACTGTTATTTTTCTTTAGCCTCAAAAGTTTCAAGGAAGATGTTAACTGGCAATAATAAGGAAGCAATAAACCAGCATCAGGTTACATTGGTAACACTCAATTCCTCTTTGAAGGCTTCTGCCTCGACTTTTCAACAAGAGATGCCCTTTGCATTGATGATAAAGTCTTTTGTGTATCCTTGAAGAGAGACAAGAGAACACAGCTGTAATCAAGAAAAGGTATTTAATCAAGTTCTTTAGGGAGATTAGGAAAGGCATACATCTACTGAAAGGATGGTAAAGGGATGTTGGAAGAGAAATCAGGAAAAAGAAAATCCATATACCCACTAAAGGTAGATAGTTTGATTCTTTAGGCTTCTCAAAATAAAGGCATGCCATGTATGCAGACAAATAAAGGTTAGTGTTTTATGAAATATTCATCAACAGTTACCTCTACAGTCCACCCTCCATCATGTTGACCAGTTTCACTTTTCACTTTCATATAAAAGTCAAACCATAGAAGTATCATGATCAGAAGTTTTGCCTGCTAAGGATGAAAAGTAAGTGCTTCTTTGTGTATAGATACGTTTCATACTGAAATATGTGGATGTGATTCAAGTATAAATGCATTCAGCTCTGTGGTAAAAATTTACCATTGCTAATTTCAAGGCTTTTTCACATCAAGTTATGATCTTGAATTCCATGTTCCTATATGTTGCCTTTACCAGTTTACCCTGACGCTCTTTAACATGTTTTTTGTCTATAGATTTTTAGTTGCAATACAATTACATCCAAAAAGACTATGATATGATATGTGATTGGAATGCTCTACCACCAAATCAATAAAACAAATTTCTTTTGCATTTAGGTCTGCTAGTAGAAGCTAAATAACAGGCCTTGGTGTCAAGATCGTGACTGATGAACACATAAAAGCCTTTTAATGAAGCTTGTTGAGGTACATCTATGGGCCAAGTTGAGTTATATGCATATTCAAGGATGAGCCTTCATGAGTAGGCCAAAATTTTGAGTAGAATCCTCGAGAACAAGTAACTAACATCCCCTCCAACATCAATAAAGAACCACAAATCATGATGAAAGAATGACTGCTTGACTGCAAGGCAACCCCAGCGCCGATGCCCTAAATTGTTGAGTTTTGATGAAAGAGCAACTTCTTAAGCTAAGCGAAACAAAGAAGTTTCCGTTATTACAAATTGGCAGCTGGTAGTCTGAACACAATATGCATCTTAAACCTTTTTGGTTCAGCTCCTTAAAGGGCAAGAGAAATGGAATTCAAGGGTATTTTGGCAGCATGACTGATCCCTACATTAAGAGGTCTTCACTGTAGAGACTATTTTGCTCTTTTACCTGATTCACTAGAACCCCCTGTCTCGAAAGGACTACTCATCAAAGTCCAAAGTTGCTTCTATTAAGAGTGAATTCATATAATGAATCTTGTCAAGTGAAAATACACTCAACTAAAATACCACGCAAGGTTTTACCTTGGACTTCGTGAGAACCATGTGAACACTTAGTTGATGTTAAGCAGGGGCCCTAAATAATACAGAGCATTTATCTCCATCATTTTGGTATCTTTTTCCAGCTTACTCAGAGGAACAGGTCTGGTAAAGTTTATTCACAAAATTTTCCCCTAATTTCTTCTTGTCTTTCCCTTCCTATAACTAATGAAAAGCTGCATAGAATGTCACACAATGAACTTGATGCAGAAGAAAATAGGCGTAGAAAGTAAATGTTATCACAGAAAATGAAAGCCATCCGTTTGGATGCTTGAGAGAAACTCTGAAGTAGTTCGTGGGCTGAGCGATCGGTCACCCAGATTTTTCAAATCCTGGCAATCTGATTATGGTACAGTTAGGCCTATCTGCCTTCTCAGGCATTATATTTGGTGGTAAAATAGGTGGTGGAGGGGACAAAGGTTGATAATCGCCAGCATTGTTGCCTCCTTTTTCCATCTTTTGTACCAAATTAAGACCTGAAACATATGAACAGGAGATACATTCAAAGTGTTCCTAAGATCAGTGCAGTAGAGATACATGGATTAGGCATGAGTATTTCTACCTGCGCAGAAAATTCTTGTAACATGAATCTATGTTCAGATAAGTCCAGCACATTCGCACAAAAGAAGGGAAGAGATATTAAAAATTAAAAAAATAAAAATACTAGAGAACAGTATCAAAAAACCAAAATTTGGGGGGGGGGGGTGACAAATGTTATAACCGTAACAGCTTGTATGTAATAATAGGCACACAAAAATCAAAATTCATTAATACAAACTTATAACTTTTTTTTCCCCACAATTGTTGGTAAAGTCCCTAATATCAACGACTTAATTAGTAACTTTTAGCATGTTTTAAGGTTATCCTTTCATACAATAGTAATAATTGCCTTCATAATACTATTCTTGCAATCATATCCTACTTTTTTCTTTTCTAAAGTAAATTCCACGTTTTACCTAACACTTATGCTGCATCAAGCATCTTCTAAAAGATGTTCATAGTATGGAACAGTATTCCTGCATGAGTTAACCAAAAAAAATCTCATCATTAATATTCAAAAAAAAAAAAAGGGAAAGATCATCCGATGAGCCATAAAAGTAGCACAACTACATCAGATCATACAATAATCAAGACTTGAGTAGGATTTTACAGATGTCAAAACATTAGACTTTTCAAAGAAATATTCAAACTTTGTAAAAAAGCTGATTATTACATAATGCAAAATTAAAATCTCACACACCACATATTAGATGGGCCCCAAAAAAAAAAATCTCTTAACACATGAAAATTTTTTATGGAGTATTAAAAGGCTTTTATAAATTAAGAGAGTATAAAATTGAAATCTTTTGAAAGATAAAATATAAATTAAATAGTTAAGCAGCACTACAAAGAAAATTATTTCTATTGTGTGAAAGTATAAATTTGGAATAAAGAAAAGTTAGAAGGAAACACGTTAAAGACAAGAAACCTGGCATGTAATTAGACAAGATCGCCACACCTCTTTTATCTTGTTTTGCCAAATTATCAACTTAAAAGCTGCAAATGAGGAGTGCCCTTGATGAACCCTTGTCTTCACAACCCTGAGTTTGATCATTCTGCTGCTCTGTTATCAATCTCATGACCAAACAACCAGAGAA